CGTGTCCAGTGTTTTTGGGAGGGTGGACAATAGGGGATATAAGGATACCATCCCCGCCTTTTGTCACCACTAATGCTGCCCCGTCACCCATTCCACTTGTCCTACTTATACCACCAGCATCCCCGTCCCACCTCCCCGAAAATATCCCATACAATTAGGTCCACCCACACCACCCAACCCCACCCTATACCCACCCAGACTAGCCCTACCCTATACCCACACCACCCCAAACCTACCCTATACCCGGGAGCAGGACAATTCCCACCCGGACAATGCCACCCGGACAATTCCCACCTAGGACAATTACCCAGTTATTTTCACTATAATGATGAGGCCAATTCCCACCCAGTCTTTGAAATATTGAAATATTGACTTTGGTGTAATATTGAAAATGATAAAATATTGAAATTTTGACATTGAAGAAATTTGACTTTGATGAATTTTTCACTTTGATGTAATATTGACTCAACACTCAACAACCTCCGACCTTCATTCAATACAATCCTCAGTCCAACCCTCCCCACCATTAATCATTACAATCCTCAATCCCGCACTCAACAACCCCGGACCTTCATCCAAACAATCCTCAGTCCAACCCTCCCCACCATTAATCATTACAATCCTCAATCCATCTTTCAGCAGCAATCCCCGACCTTCATCCAAACAATCCTCAGTCCAACCCTCCCCACCATTAATCATTACAATCCTCATTCCATCTTTCAGCAATCCCCGACTTTCATTCAATACAATCCCCAATCCAACCCTCCCAACCATTAATCATTACAATCCTCAATCCATCTTTCAGCGCAGCAATCCCCGACTTTCATTCAATACAATCCCAATCCAATCCAACCCAATCCCCCCCACCATTAATCATTACAATCCTCATTCCATCTTTCAGCAATCCCCGACTTTCATTCAATACAATCCCCAATCCAACCCTCCCAACCAGTACTCATTACAATCCTCAATATCGCTCACCAGCCCCGGATATTCATTCAATACAATCCTCAATCCAGCACTCAAAGACCCCCAACCTTCATTCAATACATTCCTTAAATCCAACTCTCCCCATTAACCATTAAATCCCCAATCCCGCACTCAACAACCTCGGATATCCATTCAAACTTTCATAAACAACAAACTGTTATCAATGAAAAAACTGGGTCCATTTACCCACCTGAATGCCCCCACCCCCACCCCACCCCACACCCACACACACACACACAGAGGATGAACCGACAAGCTGTACATCTCAACCCTCCGTTGTCAATAAAACTGTAGCTGTAAATAATCAGTTCACGCGTATTACCTATAACGTCTTCAGCAATCAACTTGTATCTTATATCCAACCTTTGCCGCAAAAAGCAAGGTTTCTAGGTCATGGCAACCGACATTCGATCCCTTTCCTGAAGTAAAAAGAAACTCATTTGACAAATCATGATTTCTAATCCCATTGGGACATTGTATAACTATCCGCAAGGATATTTTAACTAGCCATGTGAGTCACATAACCACTGCTTCGAATGGACAATTGCTTCCACGTGTTTTGGAAAAGCGTGGGCTATTGCACAAGCGGAAATCTATACTTGGACGCTAGTTTTGTAAATATACGTGTCTGTCAGTTCAAGGGAAGACAGTTTCGAAGCATTCGGAATAGATATATGTCAGGTCCCCCTGGGGATTAAAGCAGCGTGATTAACCGTTGTACTATCTGATGGATTATCTAATCCCCGTCGAAACCCATCAGACCACAGAACACAGCAAAGGGAAGACCTGTCCTATATATGTCAGTGAAAACGACACATATGTACGTTTGCAAATACCACATATACTAGCATTACACAGTTACACGTTTGCATCCAATCTGACTTTAGTATCTCGAGAGTATGTAATGCATATTTGTTTGTTTGTTTGTTTGTTTGTTTGTTTGTTTGTTCGTTCGTTCGTTCGTTCGTTCGTTCGTTCGTTCGTTCGTCGGTCGGTCGGTCGGTCGGTCGGTCGTTTGGATGGTTGGCTGGTTGGTTGGTTTGTCATCTCTATTAAACAGCGATTTATTGACATTCTATAGCATGGTAGAAATCATACAATGGTAAATATGTCATGTATTTATGGAAATTGTTTCCATCCTCGGTAATCCAGTGAAGTAAAAGAGTGAGTGAGTATGGTTTTACACCGCTTTTATGTTTATTGTTTAAAGCCGCACTATATTCCAGTTATAAGCGGCGTTCTGTAAATAATCGAGTCTGGACCAGACAATCCAATGATCAACATTATCTACGTAATTTGGATACGATGACATGTGTCAACCGAGTCAGCCTGCCCACCCATTCCGCTAATCGCCTCTTACGACAAGAGTGGTTTGCTGAAGATAAATTCTAACCCGAATCTTCCGGGTGAATACCATAAATCTCTTAAATACGGTTTTTTTGCTTTGGTTAAAGCATGTGCAATGAATTTCTTCAAAGAAAACTCATACTTCGAAAAGTATATAACAGTAATGAAATTCCTGACATCAAATTCTGATTTTAGAAATACATTATTCTTATCAGACAGGTCCTTGTGTTTTGTTTACATGACAGTAATTGACCCCCACCAGTGCAAGATGTTGATCCCTGCAGTGTGTCTATTTTGACAAGCCTCCCCTGGTGGAAGAAATGGCGTCTTAATGTGATCATTTCCTATCTCGTTAATGCGTTTTGCTAATGCCGTTATGCTTTCAGTTACAACGTCATTAGTGCTTTCTTTTAAACTATTACTAATGCTTTCAGTTCCAATGTCATTTTTGCATTTAGTTTCAGCGTCTTGTATGCATCAGTTACATTAAATGTTTTCGTATAGATGTTTAATTTGTCATTTGAGAAGCTATTTTGGAAAACCACAAGCGCAGTCATGGTGCGTATAAACGTATAAACATAATCACAGCAAATCATGGATTGGGGCCACATGTTTTAGGTTTTTGGCTTTAGGAGCGAAATGCAATACAAATGTTGATATATATTTTTCGAAAATTTTAAACGAAATAGAATCATTAAAAGAGAAAATACAGCTGTTTCCGGTATCATCACAATTTGATAGTTGTTTATAACAAAACATGCCCATAATTACAATCGCACGATCGACTATTTATGAATAAGAGTTTCGTCGCTTAATTTCTTTATGTTCTAATATGCACGTGTTGCTGTAAAATATCGTTTATGGGATGTTCTGAAAATATATAGCAAAGCAGCTAGATTAGTTTCCATACAGAACGTCAATAAACCGATCAGATCTCATACCGTTTTGTCGTCTAAATTGCATGTCAAAATTACACTGCGGCTGAATCTCATTTGCGCTGTCGACATTGTATCCTCGTCGGCTGAGCAGTATTTTGTGTAAACAACATCACTATTTCGCATCCTGCACGAACAAGCCTTTCTGTGAGCGCCCGTCCCATTTGGAAGCAGAGCGAACGCATCAACAATGCCTCTATTGTCCGCAGGAGAGCGTGGGCGGTCAAGCGGTCAAACGTGCATGTTATCTGGGTATGTGTTATCTATATAGTCCCTTAGATACACGCGGCTTGTGTTTATTTAGCTGGTGTTCCATAATTTTGCCTTGGAGAGTTTGCCAAGGAGATAGTAGAGGGATCGTGTTACGTCTGGGTTTATGCTGATAAGGGTTACCATTCGTTGCAGTGTTTCTGGTCGACGTCTTCAAACACGTTTAAGACTCTGGGGTATTTGAGAACGTGATTTTCATGTAATACACCGTAGTATGTTGCAGAGATGACGTGATAACATCTAGGGGTGAGAAAGGATATGGGGATGTGGTAGACTTGCACAAGTCTCTAAAGGAATAATTAATGGTTAAAATGAAAATTCTTTAAACAATCCTTAAAACTAGACTGGCCTTCTAAGAGTACTGTCCGCTTAGTTAGACTTGCCCCTTTAAAGGACAGAATTACTATCCATCCATGGGTTTACCATTAAGTACAACCTTGGAGCAAGGCTAGGGATGGGGTGCTGAAAGAGATAGGGGTGGGTAAGGAAGGAGATGGGTTTGGGGGTGAGGAATGAGATGGGGTGGATGAGGAAGGAGATGGGTGAGGAAGGAGATGGAGATGGGTAAGGAAGGAAGGAGATGGGGGTGAGGAAGGAGAGGAATGGGGTGAGGGAAGGAGATGGGTTAAGGGTGAGGAAGGAGATGGAGAAAGGATGGAAGAGGAAGGAGATGGGTTTGGGGGTGAGGAAGGAGATGGGATGGAGGAAGGAAGGGATGGGGTGATGGGTGAGGAGATGGAGGATGGGTGAGGAAGGAGATGGGTGAGGGAAGGAGATGGAGATGGGTGAGGGAAGGTGAGGAAGGAGATGGGGAGGAGGGATGTGAGGAAGGAGATGGGTGAGGAGGAGGAAGGAGATGGGTGAGGAAGGATGGGGATGGGTTGAGATGGGGAGGGGTGGGAAGGAGGAGATGGGATGGGTGAGGAAGGAGATGGTTTAGGGGAGAGGAAGGAGATGGGAAGGGTGAGGAAGGAGATGGGTGAGGAAGGAGATGGGTGAGGAGGAAGGAGATGATGGTTTGGGAAGTGAGGAAGGAGATGAGGTGATTAGGGGTGAAGGAGAGGAAGGAAGGAGGAGGAATGATGACAGGGAGGAAGGAATGCGGGATGCATTTAGGAAGGAGATGGGTGAGGAATGGAGGAAGGGAGGAGTGGAGGAAATGGGCTTGAGGAAGGAGATGGAAGGATGAGGGATGATGGAGATGGGAAGGAGATGGATGAGGAAATGGGTGGGGAAGGAGGAAGGATGGTGGAGGAAGATGGGATGAAGGAGAAGGAGGATGGAAGGAGAGAAGGAAGGATGTGAGGGAATGAGATGGATGGATGGAGGAAGGAGGGATGAGAGGAAGGATAGGATATGGAAGGAATGGGATAAAAGTGAAGGGAGGAAGGAGGGAAGGAGAGAGGGAAGTGAGAAGGAAGGAAGGAGACAAGGAGAAGGAGGGTAAGGAGGAAGGAGATGGGGTGGGTAGGAGGAGACAGGAAGGAGAGGAAAGGAGGAGAAGAGGAGTGGATTCGACGAGGAGGAAGTGCAGGAAGGGAGAGGAATGAGAGGAATGAGACAACCAAGGAGATGGGGTGGAGGTGGGAACTGAGGAAGGAATTAGAAGTGGGAGGGAGACAGGGTGAGGAAAGGAGATGGGTAGGCAGGAACATGGAAATGGTCCCATGGATGATAGGAGTAAGTAGGGTAAGAAGAGACAAACAGGTTGAAAGGTTTGGGCAAGTATTTCAGACATGACCACAAAAAACAAATTGTAATTATTTCTGGAATCAAATGGAGTTTGAGGGAGACAGAAGAAGGATAGAAGGCTGGTGGGTGGTGGAGAGGCTAGCTGCATGGAGGATGGTGTCGTCTTACAAGGCACACGTGCTATCTTTATTGATAAGAGTACAAACATGTCGCATATTTTAAACAAACGTCATTACGATTTTTTCAAATCATGACTTTTCATCGCCACTTGCATTTAATGCACATTTAATAACAGCTCCCATTCTAAGAAGGATTATAACTCCTTGTGGTTACACAGGCAGGCTTTGGTTTCAAGTGTCAAATATGAAGACCGTTTCTGGTGATGGACTTCGTGGATCCAAACCTACTTAATAAAACAATATTAGAAATTGACCGGGTGAAACTTTAACAAGTATTTTCACAATATCCGGGAGGTTTCTACAAGTTACGGTAAAAGGAAAGGTGAACAATGTGGAAGGTGTGGTAGCCTGGTTGGTTAAAGCGCGTTTGCTTGTCTCGCTGAAGACCAGGTTCGATTCCCCAAGAAATATGGAAACCCATTTCTGGTGTTCCCCGCCGTGAATGTTGCTGGAATATAGTGGAACGCGGCCATGGAACCAAACTCTTTCAAACCGAACATATATGGATCTAATGTGAAAATTGCAGAGTGGAATGGATACTTTTGTCAGCCGAACATACGCTCAAGCGAACGTTTCAGATGGATAATGGATGCAAGAAAACGAGACAATTGGATGAAATGATTTCTAATACGTCAGAATTTGGCGTATTCTCCGAGAATTTCTTTGGATCGGTGCGCCTGATAGGGACGTGACTAAACTGTGGCATTTTGAATGAAGATCCAGGTTAGAATGGACCTTCCAGTAACCCATGCTTGTCGTAAGAGGTGGATCGGGTGGACAGCAGTTGACTGGGTTTGCACATGTCATGGTTGCGTAAGTAGATGCTCATGGATTCACTGGTTGTCGCAGAATTACGTCGAAATCCAGATAACAGAACGCCGCTATTAGCTGGAATATTGTGAAGTGCGCGGCGAAAACCATCCACTCTTTCTGCAGAGCTGCAACGCTACTAAACCTTTATTTTGAAGGCACTTTAATTGTTATCATGATACTGAATTATTCTATCTCTGCTCTGATATTACGATATCGGTACGACTCCATAAATCGTTGCACTTTTTGAAATTTATAACAATGCAGTAGTTTCTGTTTCAGTTAGGTGTATGTAACAATGATTATACCCTTGTCACTTAATGTGGGCTTTTTAAGTGTAGGTCCAACAGTGAACTCGGGTTAACGGGTTAAAGAAAAATCGACACATCCGTTTTTAGATTCAAATGTCGATATGAAACCTCAGAAGCGATAATGATTTTGCCTGTTATGAAACAACGTTGTGTTAACGATGTGCGGAGGTCATTGGCTTCGATCGCAAGTTAACGACGTTTCATCGTAAGCTAATATTATGATTAAATACTAGTTATCGTCAGTGAATAGATTTAGGAACCCACCTACACAAGCTACCACGATCCATTCTCGAGGAATATGTTGATCGTATCATCGTGTTTTATTTAAACCTGTAATCCTATCTGCCTGTTGTTTACATGAAGATCCGGGTTAGAATTGGTCTTCAGCAACCCAAACCCGTGAAGATCCGGGTTAGATTTGGTCTTCAGTAACCCATGCTTGTCATAAGAGGCGACTAACGGGACTGGGTGGTCAGGCTCGCTGACTTGGTTGACACATATTATCGTATCCCAATTACGCAGATCGATATTCATGCTGTTGATCACTGCATTGTCTGGTCCAGACTAGATTATTTACAAACCGAAGCTATATATCGGTAGCTGAAATATTGCTGAGTGCGTTGATATGCAACAAACAAATATAATTTGCAACGATCCATTCTCGAGGAGAGTGTTTGGCTGTAGATGGTATCACCATGTTTTAATGAAACTTGTAATCCTATCTGCCTGTTGTTTACATGTTTCACGGCGATAGTTCAACCTGAGGTTGATTGAGGGAGCGAAAATACATTTGATGTATTACGTGGGCGTCACAGAATGGCTTCTCAAATTATCTTGTTTGTTTACATCTTCATCCTTGTTTCAGATGGAGCAGGGCCGGGGCGTTGGGTAGCCGAGTGGTAAAGCGTTCGCTCGGCACGACGAAGACCCGGGTTCGATTCCTCACATGGGTACAATGTGTGAAGCCATGTCTAGTGTCCTCCGCCGTGATATTGCTGGAATATTGCTAAAAGCGTAAAACTGAACTCACTCAAATGGAGCATGGTGGGCGGAATACTGAACCAATATGTTTTTCTTTGTATGAAACTGGTCGGCTGTCTACGGGTAGCCATATCGTCTATAGCGGGGCATGACGTGGTGTATTTTGCTTCTAAAGCCAAAGCCCAAAGGTATATGATCCTATTCCGAGATTTGCTGTGATTATGTTTCTAAACTTGCCAGCACCATGTTTGAGCTCTTGGGTTTCCAAAATGGCTTCTCAAATGACAAATTAAACATCTTTTGTTTGTTTTGTTTAGTCGTTTTCAACGCCACACTCAGCAATATTCCAGCTGTATGGCGACGGACTGTAAATAATCGAGTCTGAACCAGACAATCCAGTGATCAACAGCATGCACATCGATCTACGCAATTAGATACGATGATATGTGTCAACCAAGTCAGCGAGCCTGGCCACCCGATCCCGTTAGTCACCTCTTACGACAAGCATGGGTTACTGAAGATCAGTTCTAACCCGGGTCTTCACGGGTATAAACATCTGTATGAAAACATTGAAAAACATTGTAACTGAAGCCTAAATGACGTTGAAGCTAAATGCAAAAAAATGACATTATAACCGAAATCATTTAGTAATATTTTAAATGAAAGCACTAATGACGTTGTAAATGAAAGCATTAACGACATTGGCAAAACGCATTAACGAGATAGGAATGAAAGCATTAAAGCGCCATTTCTTCCACTATAGAGGGACGGAAGTGCCGTCAAATTTGACACACTGCAAGGGTAAGAAACGAGCCCTGGTGGAGGTCAAATACTGCTACATACTTTACAAACTATCAATTTTCCCTAAAGAAATTCATTGCACATGCTTTCACCAAAGCAAAAGACGACCTCATATACAGAAAGAAAATATTGCGTATTTAGGAGATTATCAATGCTATCCATCCCGGAAGATATGGGTTAGAATCGATCTTCAGCCATCTTCAGTAAGAGCCGATTAGTGGGATCAGGTGGCCAGTCTCGCTGACTTGGTTGACACATGTCATCGTTTCCCAATTGCGTAGATCGATGCTCATGCTGTTCATCACTGGGCTGTCTGGCTCTCTGGCTTAGTTCATGCATGTCATCGTATCCAAAATGCATGGACTTTGCTCATGATGTCAGTCACTGGAATATCTGGTCCAGAGTCGAATATTTACAGACCACAGTCCAATATTTCTGAACATGGGTACGGTGTGTGAAGTTAATTTCGGGTGCCCCCCGCCGTGATATTGCTGGAATATTGCTAAAAGTGGCATAAAACTAGACTCACTCTAACGTGTAATTACGTCAAGAACATTGAATCGTCTTGGAATAGACCATGATAATAGACTTGCGGTCGTCAGGAGTTGGTTGTGTAGTACTATGAAGAATGCGCTGACTCGCCACGCCGAAGACCCTGGTTCGATTCCCTGGACTGGACCCATTTCTGGTGTCCCCCGCCGTGATATTGCTGGAATATTGCTAAAAGCGGCGTAAAGCCAAACTCAGTCGGTCAGTCCCTGGACTGGGCTGTCTGGCTCTCTGGCTTAGTTCATGCATGTCATCGTATCCAGATTGCATGAACTAATGCTCATGGTGTCAGTCACTGGAATATCTGGTCCAGAGTCGAATATTTACAGACCACAGTCCAATATTTCCAAGCACTGCGTTGAATAACAAACAAACAGACTTATCCCTAAACATACTCCTTGTAATGTATTTCCATATGTCGACCCCTCAGCCCCCGAACCCTTCCAGCAAACCGAATAAGGACGCCCTTGGTTCCTGTAACTGTCAACTAAACCTTGGACCATTTTCCTCGGATCACGTAGCCCTCCACGTGAATTAGACGCGATACTCGAGTCTCTTGTTTAAGCTTAGGTTTTTTAGTCAATGTCATTTCCCGACATCTACAGCAAACAAAGGCCAGTCACGTGTTCATAAATTGTTTCAAGCAAAGCCTCCCTCCGCTGTGGTCTCTGTATATGGCCGCTGATCGTCTTAGCTGGAGACTCTTTCGACGTCCTTGGCAACTAAAAATACCGACGTTCTTGTGCTACTGTTACTATCGCTATGCAATCTCGGTTTAGGCTACAGTGACAAATTCTCTTCTGGAAATCTGAATCATCGTGATCGCAGAAATCTCGTCTCATATCCAGATATGATCGGAACAAATGAAAGGTTACCAATTGTTATTGGTGCCTCAATCGTTCCTCTCACGAGCAGGGGGTTGGGGGTGTCAGTAGCCTAGAGATTAAAGCGTTAAGTCGTCACGCAATAGACCCGGTTCGATTCTCCACATGGCTACGGTGTGTGAAGTTAATTTCTGGTGCCCCCCGCCGTGATATTGCTGGAATATTGCTAAAAGTGGCATAAAACTAGACTCACTCTAACGTGTAATTACGTCAAGAACATTGAATCGTCTTGGAATAGACCATGATAATAGACTTGCGGTCGTCAGGAGTTGGTTGTGTAGTAATATGGAGGATGCGCTGACTCGCCACGCCGAAGACCCTGGTTCGATTCCCGAGATGCCCATGTCTAGCGTCCCGATCGAGCCTGTTATGACATTTATTATGTTAAAAGGCGTTAAACAGCCGTCACTCACTCCG